TTTTAATTTTTAATTTATATTCAATTAATTAACATATAATGTACTATTAGTTTCAGAGGTAGAGGTCAGTGATTCATCAGTCTTATATAATACCCAGTGCTCATTACATCATGTGCCCTCCTTAATGTCCATCACCTAATTTACCCTTCTCCCACCCCCAGCCTCTCCAGCAACCCTCAGTTTGTTTCCTATGATTAAGAGTCTCCTACGGGGTCGACTGGGTGGCTCAGTCGGTTAAGTGTCTGCCTTCGGCTCAGGTCATGATCTCAGGGTCCTGGATCGAGCCCTGCACTGGGCTCCCTGGTCAGCAGGGAACCTTCTCCTTCTCCCATTCCCCCCTGCTTGTGTTCTCTCTCTCATATAAATAAAATCTTTAAAAAAAAAAAGTCTTTTGTTTGTCTCCCTCTCTGATTTTGTCTTGTTTTATTTTTTCCTCCCTTCCCCTATGATCCTCTGTTTTGTTTCTTAAATTCCACATATGAGTGAGATCATATGATAATTGTCTTTCTCTGATTGACTTATGTTGCTTAGCATAATACCCTCTAGTTCCATCCATGTCATTGCAAATGGCAAGATTTTGTTGGTGGCTGAGTAGTATTCCATTGTGTGTGTGTGTGTGTGTGTGTGTGTGTGTGTGTGTACACATCTTCTTTATCCGTTCATCTGTTGGTGGACATCTGGGCTCTTTCCATAGTTTGGCTATTGTGGACATTGCTGCTTAAAAACATTGGGGAGCAGGTGTTCCTTCAGATCACTACATTTGTATCTCTGGGGTAAATCCCTAGTAGTGCAATTGCTGGGTTGTAGGGTAGCTCTAGGTTTAATTTTCTGAGGAACCTCCATATTGTTTTCCAGAGTGGCTGTATCAGCTTGCATTCCAATCAACAGTGTAAGAGGGTTCCCCTTTCTCTGCATCCTCACCAACATCTGTCATTTCCTGACTCGTTAATTTTAGCCATTCTGATCGGTGTGAGGTGGTATCTCATAGAGGTTTTGATTTGTATTTCCCTGATGCCAAGTAACATTGAGCATTTTTTCATATGTCCGTTCACCATTTGTATGTCTTCTTTTTTTTTTTTTTTAAGATTTTATTTATTTATTTTGAGAGAGAGAATGAGAGAGAGCGAGCACATGAGAGGGGGGAGGGTCAGAGGGAGAAGCAGATCCCCTGCTGAGCAAGGAGCCCGATGCGGGACTCGATCCCAGGACTCCAGGATCATGACCTGAGCTGAAGGCAGTCGCTTAACCAACTGAGCCACCCAGGTGCCACCATTTGTATGTCTTCTTTGTAGAAATGTCTGTTCATGTCTTCTGCCCATTTCTTGACTGATTTTTTGTTTTTGGGGTGTTGAGTCTGATAAGTTCTTTATAGATTTTGGATACTAGCCCTTCATCTGATAAGATATTTGCAAATATCTTCTCCCATTCTGTCGGTTATCTTTTGGTTTTGTCAACTATTTCCTTTGCCGTGCAAAAGCTTTTTAT